ACGTCATCGATTGGCGAATGTTCCCAATATAATACGTTTTCCGCGAAGGAATAGGTAGAAAAAACCCCTCTTTAATGTTAGCCACAAGCTCAGTAGTCAAGCAACGAGTCATTAGATCAAGTTTATGACGTCGGAACAATATTAAATGTCTATTTTACCTTCTCTTTATCTGTCGGTAGTGACTTCACTAACTTTCCCTAACAGATGACAAGTTGCAGACTTAATTGGAAAACTTTGGTCCTTCGAGTCGCAAGGAAATTTGTTTGTTGGGAATTGTACCTGTGTAAAATTTTAATTGGTATATAACTTTCGAAACCGACCATATAATTAACAAAACCATTTTCTCGTTTTCCTCCTCCTCCTCGCGTCGGTTTCCTCAGTGCTGAGGGTCGTGACCACCTCGTGGAAGCAGTGTACTGCGTATTACTTTCCGCCATCTATTTCTATCTGTCGCTGAGTGGAGAGCATCGTGGACTGTAGTGTTGAGAGTGGTGCGAATCTGATCCGTCCAACTTATCGGACTTCTGCCTCTAGGTCTCTTTCCTTCCACTTTACCAGTGATCAGTGATCAGATCTGATCTGAGAACGACCAGTTTTCTCGTTTTACTTATGTTCAATTTAATATGCTTGGTCTTGGTTGCCGTTCTTTTGTTATGATTACTTGTTATTTACGCGTATTACCTATTCTTAGAATACCTTTGTCTTTTAGTTTGTAATTTCTAAGTAAGTAATTAAGTAATGATTTATTTATACATGTTAGTTAATGGACTGTCACTATTCCTAGAAAATTGTGACGGATGAACCTTAGTACATGTTTAGTTCCTGTTAATAATAGTTTTGAAGTTTAATGTTTCCGAATATTTATTACGTGAGGTACACATCAAAAGGCAGTTTTTAAGATTCGAATTCGGATTTTCGACATTAATGTAATCAGAAACCTGGTTTAATAATAATTTGTACGGATACATTACTCGTGACCATTTGTTGGCATTACTTATTATACTATATTTTTTAGCCTTTCTACGTTTTAATTCAACATTTGTAATCGTTGATATTCCCCAATTGATCGGATCACGTATCTGGATTTAGTAACCGATATTTAGTTCTTTGATGTATGTCTTTACTGTAACCTTGTACCGTGTCACAATGTTTTATATATACCACCAGCCACTGTCCCGTGGTTTCATCCCCTGCTTGGCTCCTACATCTCTATAGTTTTCCTCGATAAATGGAATAACACACAAGAAAAGAATTGTTCAATGTGAACCAGTAGTTCTGGTGATCAGCGCGTTCAAACAAACAAACTCTTCAGCCTTATAATATTATGTATAGTAAGATTCATCTACTTTTATACCATAAATAAAATTATCCTCATATTTATTTCACTAACTAAAAATAGTAGCTGTTTCTTCCCAATTAACTTATAGCTATTTAATGTAGGAACATGGAAAAATACTCCTTCTGTATTAATCTGACAAATAAATAAATAAACAAATAATACGAGAAACAAATATTGTAGTTGCTTATTCTGTATTAAGAAGATGGAATGATAAAAAATATTCCCACATGATTATCGCTGTACATTATTAGGTAATTACAGCTACATATATTTGTACTTTGCCTTTGCTGTCCGTGGGAGAATATGAACAATGAAATAAATATTACTTACATAAATAATCAACAACAGCAAATCAAAATAACGTCTTCTAGCTTGATCTCTGATTTCTACCAAAGTCTATTAAATCAGAGGTCAAGTTACACTGGGAGTGTATATCTTCATGTGCTGCTGTCAGGATATTTGTTTGGGCGCATGTCTGTAACGCGCTCGGTCGTACTGAGACGTGTTAAATACGCCATGAAATGATTTGCTACCTTATCCTGTCAAGGTCAATGACCTTAGGTAGATCTATACCTAATGTTTCAAGTTCGGCGAATCTAATTCAGTTTTTTTAACAGGAACTGAACTGATGTAGATTTAATTATTTGCCTTATCTAATATCCGAACAGAAAATGTTGTTGTATTAATCCATAACTCTGAATAAAAAGTTTTGGTCCTTCGAGTCGTAATTTATCTCGTTATAGTTATTTAGATGTGTTATGAAGCCTTGAGAAGTAGTCATTGTCATAAAATGAAATACATACTTCAATACAGTCTTTGCACTCAGTATCAAAGTATTGAGTATCAAAAAATGTATTTCAAATTTCCCTTACTTAATTTTTATTTATTTAACATAAAAGCAGTAACAGCTGATAAATTTTCTTTCTAATCTCGACAGCGGATACTATGATAGCCATTATATGTTTCTACTGAAGCATTTAATGTGACGTTGAACTTTCGACTAACAAGCATTTCTATCTATCTCTTTTACTCTTATCGTCCTGGAAAAGAGTGAAAGAGTTAGATATATAGTTTTAAGGTTGATGTTATAGAAATGCGATACAGTAGGTATGGCTCACGTTTCGCGATTCAAGGGATTAGTTAATTAAGTTGTTCTTGTGAGAATCTCAATCAATGCTACATGTGAGTTAAGGTTTGATTTATTTAAACCATGTTTATGTAAGTTTAACTAGTTCAACTTTGATTGATTGGATCTAATTGTAAGCAAAAATGATTTTACATATACATACATCATTTACAAAAGACGCTTTTGTCTATGAAGTAAACTAAATATGGCTAGACGTGTACCAATTAAAAAAATATAAAATTTAAATTAAGGACGCAGTCGAGATTTGCTTTCTGTAAATATTCAATGCTTTTTAATGTAATTATACTTTACCAAGAAGATTGTATTTGCTTAAGAAATATCTTAAAAGGAGCTGCTTCTCAGAAAATTACTGTTTGTTGAAAACTTATTTTTGTATCAGTCGAAATCTTCTTAATAACAGAAGCATTATTATAATAAAATAAACCTCTAACGAAATTATATGAACAAGTTTCATATTATTATTAAATTTCCAAGAAAATCTGCTTAGCCATTCTGTTGGATATGGATACCCTGAAGGAATATTTTAAGGGCCGTCGTATTACCATCGTACAATCATTTATTATGATTGATAGCCCATGGGAACAAGGTAGGTATAGGCAGAAGATTCATAAAATTACCTGCTCAAATGTTTTAATGTCATAAATACTATCTAAGGCCATGGAGTTTTAATATTCGCACAACTACGAGTAGTTCTAATGATGAGAAAAAGAAGGGCGGTCAGTATAATGTCCGTTCTTAGCAGTTCTTTTTGGGAAAACAAATGCGGTGGAAAACCGAAAGCTACTGCTGAAGATTTACAAAACTTCAAAGTATTAAACTTGCCAAAAAATACCTAAAGAACTAAAATAAAATCAAGCTGTATCTTGTGTATCAAAAGACTCTCAGCTTAGTATTGTGCATCAAAAGACTTACAAAAGGACCAAGTTTCAGAAAGAAACTTGGTCCTTCTGTCCGCGCCTACATGACGGATCATACGTCACATATCTTTCACATCAATTACACAGAGAGTTGTATAAACAAGTCACTGACAGGGATCACTTGTGATGACAAATTGCTTTAATCACCTTTAAGGGTTCTGCATAATTGAATTCTTGCGGTACACTTTAGAGAAATTACTATTTAATTTGTTTTGTGATATGTGTAATATGATTTCTGTTTGCGTCTTGAGAATGATGTCATGACGTCTTTACAATGATAGATGTTGTTTAAGCAATCTTATTTATTAACTTGATATTAGGTACGCTTTTTTAATGAATTTGTAGTAGTATAAAGTAGCAAAAGAAAGGAAAAGATAGTTGGACGGTCTTTTGATCCGCTTAGAAAGAGCCACGAAATGAGTAACGGCTTATTCTATCAATTTAAAGAGATGAAACCAAAAAGTAGGTTAAGCTGTCATGATCACGACTACACACCTGAAAGTTCTCGATTTATCAGGAAAGGCAAACCACTTTGGTGTTCGGAACGTGACACCGGCATTAATGGCTAACAGTCCCTCGGAAACACTTCGAAAGGTGTTCAATAAAAGCGTCTCTAATGCTCATGAATTAAGGTTGCTTTTTATTCGATTTAAACAGAGGAACTTGATGTACCTATAGGTGATCTAATGAATCTCAAAAGCCGCTAAGAGGTTTTTGGCAAGCAGTGTTTTGGATTTCTTAGTTTTTTTTGTAAATGACCTATGCTTTTATATGCATCAAATATAGGTATATGACTGTAAATAAATTTGTGTAAATGCCTACCTACTTACTTTTTCTAAATTACTTGAGGAAAATAAGATAGCATTATATTCAGTTCTGACCATCCGCATTCGAAATACAAAAACCGCGTTTCGAAATATTTCTGGTCATAAATAAGAAATAGGAATCGAATCTGATTCAAAATAAAAAAAAAATTCTCTTTTAACAAAAGTGTTTGATTGCTTTCTCTGAATGCTTTAAAAGAAAAGTAAAAGAAAATAATTCTGTTCTCTTCAGTTGTAAGTCCTCGTGTATCGTACTTGTTCAGCTAATGGAGAGTAATGGAATGTTCTAGATGTTCAACTTGTTTTATTGTTTCCACACACGGCTCTGGGTTGCAGGTTCTCCGTCCTCTGGTCTATATTGGTACCCTTTAAATTCTGATAACAATTTGAAAAAGCTTAGTTCAACAACAAATATTTTTTGTTGACATTAATGTAGTCGCATTTTTGTTGTATTGTTGATTTTTATACCATATACGGTTTCTATTTTTGTAGTTTTGTAATCTATCTTTTGTCTTTCAATCTATCAATCAATCGACGCCACCCATAGACACACGTAAACCTAGAAGAGTTACGAGTGCGTTGCCGGCTTTAGGGATTGGGTAGGGATGAGTATAGGGGGAAGATTGGCCCTCAGATAACCTCATTCACACGGCTTTTCTATCATGGATTAATTTAAAACTTACTTAGTCTACAATCCCTATAAAACTTATTGTAAACCCATCATATTTCTTAACTTCCAATCTCTAATCGTACCTATATTTCTTTGTCACCAGATCTACGCAGATGACGACATCAGCAGCATAGTGGATGACAAAGATGACACAAAGGATCGATCTTATGACTCGCTAGAGAAGCTGCATGGCCTGACGGTTCTGGAGGATGATAACATGGGTGATGATGAGGACCTTATGGATACTGGGGACGATGCTGAAAGCGGGGACTGGTACCCTGACTATGATAAGAGGGCACAACATGTAAGTACCTTTGTTTTTAATTATATTGTCTCTTTTAATTTTATACTATGGATTTTGGTACATGTGACAAGGCGTTGATTTCTCGAAAGACCTTTCTTCCATCTTTACCGAAAAATAAGTTTTAATATATTAAAACCTCTTTTAAAAAAAGAAAGGACAGTATTTAAAAGTTTATTTATTCGAAATAAAAAAAGCTAAACCTAGTATAAAAAAATATTTTTATATTGAGACGGAGAAAACGTTCAAATAAAGATAAAACAGACGCAGTGCGTTAACATATTCGCCTGTATTCGTTAATTAAAATCAAACACTTCATTTAGAAACAACTCTACAGGACGTTTCGACCTGTTTTAGGTACTCCATTTTATTGTTGGTATTTATAAATTATATAGTACACCACTGTGAAAGTTTAAAACAAAATATAATCCGTTCCCATTACCTACAGACTTATAAAAAAGGTTCTAAGAATCCAGTTGAAATCAGGAAATGTAACGTTGTGTATATGCAAAAATAACTGTTTACACAGTGTCTATTCACTGATTATGTATTATTCATTAATATAGGTAAAACATAAAGTAAATAGTTAACGGAATATACGTATTAAGTGATGCGGTCAGGGTTCAAGGTAGGTGTCGCCTGCGTCGTCATGCTTCAATAAATATTCCTAGATACAACGTGTTTTATACGCCACAACACTGCTTCTATACCTTTTTAATAAGTTCGTAATTATTATTTCTTGTTGAAAATACGAATCACAATGTATTAGGCATAGACTAATATAGACGAAAAGGTCAGGTGTCAAAGAAGTAACAAAATTAAAAAAGAAAATTTTAAATTACGAATACCTAATAAGTAATTTAAATATCGAAAATTGCTTTCTATTTTATTACGTACTTTCTTTTTTTGTATTATATTTCCTATACTACTTTTTACGTACTTAGTTATTTGCACAGATATTTGAGTAAAAGCAAATATTGGTTTAATTTCGTAAAAAACTGTTTCAGTTTACGAAGTAGTTACAAAAAAATAAAAAATACTTAATCAGATTTTTATAAAGAATTGAAGATACAACGAACTGTATTTTTTATACAACCAATTTTACAAATCGAAGTTACGTAAAAACGTTGAGTAAATATTACTGATGTTTTCTTCGAAAAAGAAAGCGTATTAAAATTTTCAGAATTCTGTGTTAATTAATTGTGAATCCTTTTTGGAAATAATATGAATGCTTTTGAACAGGTAAAATTGTTCTTGTTTATGGGAATGTTCAAATTTAATACGAAAAAAAGTATCATTGATTGTGTTCTTGTAAACATGGAATGTTTATTTGAGTTCGGAGTCTGCGTAGTGACGAATTTAATATTTCATACTGATGTATAGCGAAGGCGAAGACCTAAGTTTCATAGGCGCCTCAAAAAAACTAATAAATTTAAAAAAATATTTTAGTGAGTTTTTGTATTTTTTTTTATGTTATAGCTCGACAAACGAGCAGGCGGATTACCTGATGGTAAGCAATCACACAGCAAAATTTCACGCCGGTTTTCTGTGAGGCCGTGGTATCACTCCGGTCGAGCCGACCCATTCGTGCCGAAGCATGGCTCTCCCACACTCATAAAGTGATACTAAGGTACATAAGGTAATACATAACAAGGTAATAATAAGAACACATAAAATATGGATATGGTTAGGTATTATAATTTTGTTACTGTAAATACAGAATTTAAATGGTATCTGAACTACACTCGCGAGCAAAAGTATGGAATCACTTACTTGGAATTGAATCCTCGCGATCTTAAGTACTTAATAACTAGTTAAGAATAATAAAAATGGTACCATTTAAAAGGTTAAACTGTTAACTTTAAATTGATACCAAATTCATTTAAATCACGCCATAATTTCAGAAGTTATACGGGATTACGTGAAGAAGTAAGGAAAAAGATATGTTTCAATTGTTTGATACGTCACGAGTTGCGCCCTATTGACCCCCTATAAAAGCACGTGTTATCGGATTTTCTTTATATCCAGTACACATCTCCGCTACTTTAGACCCTTGAACTTGGACGACAATGGATACTACACCTACAGAAGCAGCACAAATCGTCGCCCTATTGCAAGAAGGGCTCAGCCAGCGGGCTGTCGCACGTCAGCTCCACATAAGCCAGTCCTGTGTTTCGAAAGTTTATAAACGGTTTCGGGAGACTGGTGGCTTTATCCCGAGACCAAGATCTGGACGGCGCCGGTGCACATCGGAGAGAGATGACCGTTTCATCGTGTCAACCTCTCTCAGAAATCGACATTTGACTGGTGTCGACGTCCAACAGGAGCTCCGAAATGTTCGTGGGGTAGCTGCCAGTGAGTGGACAGTTCGTCGAAGACTTAAGCAAGCTAATTTGACTACAAAAAGGCCTGCTACAGGCCCGAAACTGACGGCAGGTCACCGACAAGCACGCCTTCAATTTGCTCGCTCCCATCTTGATTGGGAGGTTGAGCAATGGAGGCGAGTTCTGTTCTCCGACGAGTGCAGAATGTGTTTGCACGGCAGCGACCGAAGGGGTCGGGTCTACAGGCGGCCTGGGGAGCGATTTGCGCAGTGCTGTTTCGCTGAGACAGTGGCTTATGGGGGTGGTTCTTGTATGATGTGGGCCGGCATTTCCTTCGACGGTAAAACTGGGCTTGTTTTCGTGCCTGGCGGGGGACGAGGAGGCGGTCTAACTTCAGACCGCTATATTTCCGATATTCTGCTGGAACATGTCGTTCCTTATGCGGGATATATCAGCGATGACTTCATCCTTATGCACGATAACGCTCGTTGTCACACGTCCCGTGTCACAACTGAATATCTCGAAGAAGTCGGTATCACCACAATGAACTGGCCAGCACTCAGCCCGGACTTAAATCCCATTGAGCACGTATGGGATGAACTGAAGAGGAGGGTTCGTTCCAGAAATCCTGCTCCTTCAAGTGTGAATGAGCTGAAATCGGCTTTGATAGAGGAGTGGGAAGGTATCCCGCAAGAATCGATACAGAAGCTGATTAGGTCAATGAAGAACCGCCTTCAAGCAGTTATTAGGGCGAGGGGAGGGAACACAAAATATTAAATCTTAATTTTAAGGCCAAATAAAATTTTTATTAATTAATTTTTGTTGTTTTCTTCATTCATTATTTTTTCCATTATCCTTATGTTTTCCTAACTCCTTCACTCAATCCGGGATAGCTCCTAAATACTGGTGTGATTTAAATGAATTTGGTATCAATTTAAAGTTAACAGCCTAGTTCCCAGTTACCTTTTAAATGGTACCATTTTTATTATTCTTAACTAGTTATTAAGAACTTAAGATCGCGAGGATTCAATTCCAAGTAAGTGATTCCATACTTTTGCTCGCGAGTGTAGTTACAAAATATATTATCTCATTACAGTTTACCTATAAGTAATAAGTTTTTGTTAAAAGTGTAGTGCTTTAGACAAATCCATTAAGATTTTATATAAAAAATGACGTCAGAACTGTTTTAATGTATGCTAACACAATTTTTAAATAGCTATTCTAGTATCTAAAAACTTCGAAAGGTCAATTTTATGTGGTAATTTTGGAAAAGTATTTTCTGATTTGTAAGCTAGAAGGATACTACTAGCAGACATGTTTATAAAAAAACTGATCAGATTACATAATGCTTGTTAAATCACAATAAACATTAATAATTCATAAACATTAAGCATCAGCTTCGTTGCCAAGGAAATTAATAAGAAAATCGATATGCATTTACGCAAATACACTCAGGCAGATCAAAATGGCGGACTGATTATCTATAACCTCAAAGAAACATTTAGAGGTTATAATTTTCCCGCGCAATGGGAATAATAATCCACATTTAACAAGCACATAATATTTGCGATACGTAAGTTGAAGTTTCATGAAAATATAATGATGTCTGGCCTATAATAGAGTATTTGTTAATTTCTTAGAAATATCTTTTCTAAATAATTGTTTACATTTTCGTTATGAATCTGTTGCTATGTGAATATTTGAGTGCTTAGTCTGAGACCTTTGTTTACCATGCCAGGATAATTTAACCTTAGTTTCGTGTACTTAACTAACAAACCTTCTTTGGCAATGAAACCTCTTTGCTATTATCTTAAACTACTTGTAAATTTATTGTCTTGGTAACTGATTATATTTTATAATTAGTTAGGTAATATCTAAATACATCCTGTTTTGTTGTTTTTCTTCATACCTGTGTAAACATTGTTCTTGGCGCGAATGTATTGTTTTGGATTAAGTGTTGCCTCTTCATTATTTTTATATAATATCTGTCTGTATCCCAAATAAAAATAAAGTAAAATATATATTGATGTTGTGTGACGCACTTATAACTTTAAAATGTCAATAGTTGTACTACTTACTTGTTTTTTTTTGCCTAATCTATGCTCCAAAATAATGTTAGTATTTTTCTTATCTTGAAAAATATCTTACTGTCAAACATTACGAATATTTATATTAATTTCATTAAAAATAATTCAGATTTTTTCCAACGATGTTTGAATTATTTATTAATGTCATAAATATTTATAAGTAGGTACTGATTTCATTGATAATCTTGACTTTGGTATTTTGGTTCATATTTTATTACGAGCTAATATAAAAATGAATGAAATATTTACCTAAATAGGTAGTATTTTAGAGGGTCAGATTTAAGTTTTTTTTATTTCTTGATTGCTTTACAACATTTTTTTTACACTAGAACTTGTCTCTGACTTTTTACGTCATAATATGACCTTTTACCCTTCAGTTGCGTTTTTTCCACTCATTGATTTCACCTTTTCTTGTCGATGAACTTGTTCCAAATTTGGATCTGATATGAATTCGATATCCCATAGCGATGTGTCAATGGTCCTGTTAATACCAATATCTGAAGGTACCTATAAAAGGTCCGTGCAGACAAGCAATTATTCTTGGACGACCCCTTGTAAAATATTTGTATATATAATCTAGTCTAGATTGATCTCTATAGATTGATATAGCTTTTTGACTGAATCTTCACACTACTAACGATGAATGTTAATTTTCATCAAGATTTTGGATTGATACGTGTATGAGGTAGTCCAACCACATTTTTAATATTAATATTGATTCTAAGTGTGGAAAAACCATGCTTTGACACGAATGGGTCGGCTCGACCGGAGCTATACTACGCCCTAACAGAAAACCGGCGTGAAGCAACCACAGCGTTGTGTTTCGCCGTGTAAGTGAGATCACGAAGGCCCAATCCTTTCCAGTCCGCACTCCAATCCTTAAATATCCAAAAACCTGATCCCCAAAAAGGCCGGTAATGCACTCGTAACTCTTTTGGTGTTACGGTTGTCCATGGGCTGCGCGTTTCCGACCTATTTCATAAAATAAGACCTTTTTTCCATTGAGACCGGGAATTGATTTTTGCGCTAAGTCTGCCGTCTGCACTGGCATTTAAAAATGGCGCAAATATTTCGAGTGGCACTCGTTTGTCCGTCGCTCCCGTCTCATTGCCGCCTCCTCTTGACAAGCCTCTTTCGACAATCGCTTATTTTGAGTGCTTTTTGAAGAACACTTTGTATTTCACTGAAATTTATACCTCCTGCCAATGATCTCTCAAGGCTGTCGTCTGATTGAATTGGACATTTTAAATTGATTGATGAATCTTAAGAACATGATCAAACTTATATAGATTTCTGCAGAGTTTTAGCCAATATCTATTATCCTGATGTTTTCCGTCGACATCACCAGCTTTGAAGCGAAAGAAGAAACTGTGAGGTTGTTATTATTGTGTGTGGTACCTTGGTACGCATTTGAAGAGGCCAATATCACAGGTCTTAAACGCCTTGTGTGTATATGTGTGTGTATGTACCTATGTATTGTTGCTATAATTTATTTTATGTGACAAATCAAGAATCACTCAGTCAGAACCTGTAGTCATTCAAGTACCTCCTTCTACACAGGGTCATCAACCACCACGAAACACATACATGATAATAACTTTCTTCTGTTCTTTTTTTAAACATAATATATCCATTTTAACGCGCCCTTTTATCAAAACGAATTACAAATAATTTCGTTTTCACATTTATCTTAAAACGTTTCAGCGTCGGCAGTTCAATATTTGTTGTTGAATTTTCTAAATATGTATCATCTTCGTGTACTTTTACTGTATCGCTATCATCGCGAGCACTTACCGCTTTCCACTTTCTGACTCAAGTCACTAAATAAACAAATTTAAAAGACCAATTTGTATCATTCACTGAAAAAGGATCGCGAAATGTACGCTCGTCTTATGTTTTGTTAAATAAAGATGGCGCATAGGAAGTTTTTTAATATAGGTGATTGCCTTTTTCAAGTGAACTGATTATATTTTATGTTTAAGAGTCCCTCTTTGAATTTAAACTAGTAGAGCTGAAAGTATTTTTAAATCTTTTTAATAAATTCCATTCGTTAAAAAATACCACATAAAAGACAAAATTAGGCTACCAGATTTTATTACACATTTTATTAGCTGACTCGACAATGCGGCATTGTTTAAAATGATTTTCAATCTCCTCTACTAAACTATCACGTACATCACCTTATGTATTGCAATTTTAGGAGCCCATGGATACCCGAAACTTTAGAAAACTTATTATTGCCTTCCCGTCTTTCTAGGTTCGGAAGTGATTTGAGGGTTGGAGGTTTAGGGGTCAGGCTGGCAAAAGTATTACATTACCAAAAGAGTTTAAATTTATAATTCCTTCGTTCGGTTTTCTTCTGCTTTTGTTTTATGTAATAAGTCGGTAAACGAGCTGACGGATACTTATGGTAAACAATCAGCGCCGCCCATGGACACCCGCAGCGGAGAAGTTACGAGTGCGTTGCCGACCTTTTTGGGATTAGGGATTTGGAGATTTATGGATTGGGGCAGGGTCGGGGGAGGAGAAGGATTGGGCCTCCGGTAACCTCACTCACACGGCGAAACACAACGCTGTGGTTATTTCACGCCGGTTTTCTGTGAGGCCGTGGTATCACTCCGGTCGAGCCGACCCATTCGTGCCCAAGCGTGGCTTTCCCTCACTTAAAACTTCTACAGTTGTTCTTCTGTTCATTTTGATTTTAAATGTATTTCAAAGCTTTCATATTGTTTCCTGTTACTTATTTACGATGAACGTTTTACCGAAGCTTTGTTTTAGTAGAACAATCAGACTTATTGTTCATATTTCAAGTAGCTATTGCGAAAATTAATTTCTTTCATCTTTTAAAGTAATTATTATATTAGTTAGTTAAGGCGTACCCATCAAAGAAATGTTTAATTACGTAACTAAGCTTAGGTACCGTGTTATGTAATCTTTTAATAAGTGTGCTGGTTTATTAATCCACACCTATCTTAACTGACGGACTGACTGACGGAATTTAGCTTTGATGTTACAAAAGTGCTTGTTTGAAGATTAATTAAAATAAAAGCGTTATTTTGGACTTTACCTTACTTGTTTTTGGAGATTCTGTACCAAAATTTGACCTTCAATGGTACGGCCATATCATGTTCAATCCACAGTATCATGATCTCATCCTGTTATACCAACTCATATGCTAATTTATCTGTTTGTATTTATAAAATGTAAATAAGTATGTTTCTTAGTACCCATTGAATTTTCTATGAACTCTGTGTGAATTCATAGTTTAGTTAGTTTCATTTCTAGTAGGAGTTAGGAGCCTTTTAAAGCATAAATGTCTCAAAATGTTCCGAAAAAACCATACATTTCTGGAAAAAACTAAAATAATTTCAGCCAACTATATATATACTAAATTGCTTATACTAACTGATTTCTAGGGATTGTATGTTTTATAAAATCTAGATAGTGACCTATGAACGTAATTTAATAATGAATTACGTACCAAAAGTGTGGGAGAACTATTTTTCGGTACGAATTGGCCGACTTCACCGACTTTACCAAAGTGATACTACGGCCTCATAGAAAACTGGCGTGAGAAAACCGCAGCATTGTGTGGAGCCGTGTCGTGTGAGTGAGGTTAACGGAGCCCCGATCCTTACCCTCTTACTTGAATCCTTAAAACCGCTTATCTACACAAAGCCGGCAACTCAATTGCAATTCTAGTGTTGCAGGACAGCACCGATAGCTTACCATCAGGTAATCTGCCTGCTATAAAGTTGTTGAATCAGGCGCTTAAATTAGTCTGTAAACTTATTCCGTTTTGAAAACCCAGACGGCGCCGATACTAAAATAAAAATAAAAAACATAATTGGCATTAAATTTAATAATACTAACATACATAAATACATTAATAAATGTATACAATTATGTAAATTATTAGATTAGTCATCAACGTACATACATTATTTATAATAAATGAATGAATTAGAAAAATGAATGATGGCAATCAATTACTAATTCAATACTAAAAATTTAATTGATTATGCAGATCGCATGCTTTTAAACACTTATTTTATTAAAATTAATGGCGCTTGTTTAAAAATATAAGTGTTCCTACTCAGAGACATTTGATGATTACTTGGGCTATTCCTTAGTAGCGATTATGTTTTGAAAACTTTTGCTAAAGAAGACTGGGTTAAGTAAAGGTAATTATTAATTGTAATGATTCTGAGTCGGCTGTTGATCCCGATAAGTCAAAAGTAAAAAATATTTTAAAGAAAACACACATTACTTTAATCGATGATACCATAAAAAGTTTACTTTTATTTTGTCAATTCACTAAACTCCAAGCGAATTAACGCACCTATTTTCAATTGTGTCTCGAATTACTACGACTGAAAGGTTAATTTAACAGGAAAGTTCTTCTCTTTAGGGATTTTTGATATCATAAATCTAAAGAGTTGATTTGTTTGAACGCGTCAATCTCCAAAACTACTATTTAGATTTGAACAATTCTTTCAAGGTAAATTATCTATACATCAAGGAAGGTGACGGAACGGTGAAGGCACAGAAATCCAAATGATTAGGTAATTGCCTTATTGTTAAGATTTTTCTGGCCTATGGACTATAAAACATCACTCTAGTATCAATAGGGGCAAGCAACTGGTGAAACAACACGCAGTAGGAAGTTTTTAATGAATATCTTCATTTATTTCAGGTTGGCACATCAAACATGGTGCACCTTCGGCCTGAGGACTTCGTCGACAGCGACGTGGCCTTTGGAGACAAGTCTGTGATGGCCAACATCGGGGAGATCAAGAGAAGGCTCAATGAGAACCCTGAAGACCCTGACTTGCCTGGTAAGCAGACTAACAGACGCTTTGAGTCTAGAAGTAAATCCTGATAAAGGTTTTAGGATAGCAACTGAATGTAATGTGTTTTTAGAGGATGTTCGTGAGATATAAGTGTGGGAGAGCCAAGCTTCGGCACGAATACCGGCGTGAAACAACTCACAGCGTTGTGTTTCGCCGTGTGAGTGAGGTTATCGGAGGCCCAATCCCTCCCCTTCCCCTATCCCTTCCCAATCCTTATATCCGCAACCCCCATCCCCAAAAGGCCGGCAACGCATTCGTAACTCCTTTGGTGTTGCGGGTGTCCATGGGCGGCGCCGATTGCTTACCATCAGGTAATCCGTCTGCTCGTTTGCCGACTTATACCATAAAAAAAGGTAGATAAAACTTACTTTTACGGCTGTACACCATCATACGCCTATAGTTGCCCACTGCTGAGCAAAGTCCTCTTCTCACAGGTTTGAGCATTACTCACCTTGCTTGCTCAAAGCGGATTGGCGATTTTAAACTCGTAAATATAAATAATAAGTCTAGGTTTCCTCTCGGTGTTCTCCATCACAGAGATAGTGGTAAAAGAAGTTCCATATTTTTTTCAACTAAGAAATTATTTTCTGATATTTTTTTTTAAACGTCTAAATGATGGAAATAGTTCATTCATACACATAATTACGAATTGAAATTAATATATTTTAATACCTAGTTTACGACAATTTATAGTATTTTTGCAATAAATATTAGCCGTTGCTAATACTAGTTACGTCATACGGACAAAACCACTAGGTAGGTACCTATCAAAGAAATGAATATAAAACGTATTTTCTCAGTTTCTGAGCAAAGCCTAGCAAAATCAGTGTTCAGAATTATTATGAAAAGCTTCAGTACTTCCCTGAAAAGCAGAAACTTGGTCTTAAAGAATTTTGTTGAAAGACCGCCATTGACGTGGAAGTTAAGCTTCTTACCGCCATTTTCAATCTTTGTCATCTCATATTTATAACGATTCACCACATTGAATTCGCTTTTCATGTTACTGTATTTTCATTATGTAGTTAAGTTTTATTTTATTGAGTGGTCATTAAATATAATAGCAATTTATTACGTAATATATAATGAAGTTAATATATATTCCGAAAAGTTACATCGATGCTGCTCGTCAAATAAAGATATTTGTTTCAGGATGTTTGGCTATAACTATTATGATGTGATGCAGAAAATATTTAGTAGCAAACCATTCAAAAAAGCAACCATTAGACACAAAAAATACCTACTATTAACTAAATAAACGAAGTAAACCTTTCGGGAAATTTCGTGTCCTTTTTTAATGGTTTGCAGAGGGACACTGTGGCATAGCACCAAATTAGGTCTGCCCTACCAGGTACCTATCTAAAAAAGTAAAGGACGTATTTACCCTTTTTTATTTGTAACACAAAATTAATGTCAAAGAAACACAGATTAAGGCCTGATTATTCAATAGTCAGAGGAATAAAACTGTTGCTGTCACTGTCTTATACAAATATTCTAACGCGACTTTTATCTAACCATTGAAAAATCAGCCCTAAATCCAAAGATTTTAGATTAAGAGCGGTTATTGAAAAATTAATAAAGCCGAAGTCTTTATCAGATTCATCACAAAGTTTCTTTAAGATCTCAAAAGAAAGTGTTTATTTTTATATCATAATATTGGGAAAATCGTATTTAATTCCATAGACTTAAAACTCAATGTCCAACTTCTGAATCCTATTAAACAAGTTAATCTATCCATTATCAGACGATCAGCTTAAAATAGTTGTGGATTTCCAAAGAAGTTACTTTGAAACTTAGTTAACTTGTAACTTGAGAGTTGTTAAGAAATTAAGACTTTTGTTGTAATGGATTACTTTACTTTCCGAGCGAAAACGGATTTAATTGCTTATTTATCTCAGTTAGATTACATTGCTTAGGGAAAGCAGTTTTAGTTAGTGTTTTTTTTTGTGAAGGAAATATCATCCAATCTCTTCTCCCGCCCAGAGCAGAGCGGGAGGGAATTTCAGTCTCTTACTGACTAAGGACCACACATTCTTTCTCCTGCTCTGGGCCGTAGCCGCGGTGCCTTTGCGCTTGACATCAGCCCTAAAAGGCCCCATCTGTGGTGGTCTATTGGCTCTTTGAGGCGCGCGCGGATTCGGATCTAAGTGTAACGTGTATTTTGTGGTAGAACCTGAATACCTACACTGTGGTAAGGTTCACAATACTAGTGCTAGGCAACTATAAAAAAAATAAAACATAAAGCAACGGTGAAGGAAGGAGGTGCTTTTTAGTCAGTCAAGGGTATGACGCTTCCTATAATTCATTCAGCCACACAGCAAAAAAAAAACAATTAATATAACTTGCACAGAAAGTTTTCCCATTGAAACGACAGCTACTTAATAAACATTAAAAGTTACGAGACATTAATGAATTGGCTTCCCACTGCAGCGCATTCGATCGAAATTCATGCCAGTTATTATTAGCCAAAATTCTAGTATTGCCAACTTTAAAATACCAATTACGTGCTTGTGTATGCACCGATCAGGGTCACAGGAAACCGCTGGTCATAACTCTGACTCACTCTCTGACCGCAACTGCAAAATTTTGATCAACAAACTTTTATGGTTTCCGATCTATAATTTCGCAACATTGCTTATTTTGATACACGCTTAAGAGTTATGAATCTTCTTTTTAAGTTTTTTTTTTTAATTTCTTTGTAGGATAGCAAAGGTACTGTAGGGGCTAACAGTAAAGTGTATATCGCAAATTTGAGGCTAGGAAAAATTTAATTCGTGTCTCAGGATTGAAAACTGAAATAATTCGTTAGATAGATGGATACGTTGTTAGCAATGTAATCCATTCGTATTCAGTACTAGCTACTTTCGCGCGGTTTCATCCGCTGCTCGGCTCCATTTGATCGTAGCGTGATGTTTTATAGCCTATAGCACTCAGGAACATTGTAACTATCTATCAGTGAAAGCATTTTGGCAATCCGACCAGCGGTTCCAAAGATTACCCCCTACATACAAACTTAGAAATTTTACTTCTTTATAATATTAGTTTAGATGTTCAGCGAAATGTTAAGTAACTATAGTGAAACACAATATTTAATTATGTTAACTTTTATATCGCGACAGAGCGTTTCGTACACTGCTTATGGAAAAGAGTCCCGTGTGACTTGATACTAGTAGAGATTCTCTAAGGTAATACACACAAGTGGTTATATTCAATAAATTAAATTAAAACCACTCAAGTTGATGAGACGAGTGATGTTTCTAGAGGTTTCGTAAGTAAAAGAGTTCAGTGCTATAAAATGTTTTATGTTTTAGTTCTAGATAAACGAATGACAAGCTAGGGACAGGTGCAGTAGCACTCCTAAGCGCAATGTATGATTACATGGATGTTCCATATACACACAAGTGTGGGCAATGTTCTCTTTTTATCCCGTATATTTGTACGTAATATCGCGGCGGCACTAGTTTCCTATTCATCCCTCATGTCCCGGGTCTAAAACCAGGCAGGTACCAATGTTACCTCATATGTAAAGAATGGCTAAATTTTATTTACTCTATACAATATGCATACAAAACATTGGCAAGTAATGTTCATAGAGTAGAGAGTAAGGCATAGAGAGAAAAAAAACTAATTTGACATAACATAATATAAACGTCAGTGGTACAAATGGCGGGAAATTTAATATTACGTCATAATACAGGTCTTCTACTCAAAGTAACTTTATATGTATTATCCTTTCATGCATTTTCAGAGCTCCAACCAGCCCTCCAAGCAGCAAAACCGACTAAGCCGACAGAGGAAGAAGGATCCCGACACAAACGCAGCGTCTTCCCAGACTCACGAGCCGTTGATGAGTTCGCAGCACCCAGAGTAACGGCGAAGACTGATGAAAGGTAATTAATAATGAAAGGTATTATAATTATTTGTTTATGAAAATGTTATCGTACAACACTTACGTAGTCTCTGTCAGCGGCTTAAACCGAGCTACTTAAGTGTAGGAGAGCCATGGTTTAGCACGTATGGGCCTGCTCGAACAAATTGACGTCTCACAGAAAACCGGCGTGAAACAACTACAGCGTTGTGTTTCGCCGTATGAGTGAGGTTACTGGAACATAAGATATAATTCGAGCAATATTGTTCTTTCAATTAGCTCGTCTATCATATAAATGAATTCTACAACAATAAAGAGTATAAATATTAATACTACGTTGTATAGTAAAAAAATGAATCGCTAAGTATGTTGCTAAGCGGAAATCTCGAGAATTGAGAACTGATTTCTTCTGATCATTTGTTGGGTTTTTAAAGTACCTAAAGAGAGAATTTAATTTCAATTTTGTTGACAAACCAAATACCACACCTGCGAAGTAAGGTCAGGCCGCTAGTATTAAATAGTTAAGCTGAGACTTGCTCGTCAAACTAAACCTCATCTTCATAATCGGCAGACTGGCAGAGCTAGTTCTAAATGCTGAGATGACCGCACATTCCTGTGCTCTGCATACCTAACTACATATAAATGGAGCGTGTACGTACAGTCGGATTAAAAACATTATAGTTAAACATTTTTTTTTCCAAACAAATAAGTATAATCTGGTAAAATCAATAATCGTTTTTAATATAAATAAATATTGTAGATATGTATGTGTACCTACAATTTTATGGAAAATTATTAAAGATTATTATAAACTATGATACATAAATAATTGTTACTTAAATATCTTAATAACTTCAAGTTTAGTGATTGTTGTGAGTGAAAAAAAGGCTTCATTGACGAAAACGCGCATCGTGCGCACGTTACGGACTTCGCTATTTCGCGATCTACATTACGCATTTGTCAAATCCATACGTGAATAGTATGAAATTGACAAAAGTTTGAAAAAGAAAGAGAAGAAAAAGACTGAGATGCAAGCCCAAGGTCATTCCGGGCGTCGGGGATCGAGAGATGATCTCCGGCCACCGTAAGCGCGGGTCTGCGGACGGCGAGTAAGGGTAGCTCGCCGCCCGACCAGAACCAGACCCGAGCGTACGGCGCGTAGCGTTCCGCGCGCGCCTCAAAGAGCCAATAGACCACCACAGACAGGGCCCTATAGGGCTGATGTTCAGCTGGGCCTCCGGGGTAAGCGCAATGAAGCACCGCGACCTCGGCCCAGAGTAGGAGAAGGAACGAGGGGGGGGGATTTAGTCAGTAAGAGTCTGACTCTTTCGCCTTACCCTGGGCGGGAGAAGTCATTGGATGATTTTCCCCTGACAAAAAAAAAGGTAATGGTCAGAAAACACAACAAAATATTTTAAATGTACCAAAATACGTCCCGAATACTGAATTCACCTATCGACAAAATTGGGACAAAAAAAAAACATTATCGCGCATATACGCACCGCGGAATAGGCGAATAAAGTCGCAAGTCAAATATCACTAATTAAATTTCAGTGCGGTGGACAGGTTTTAATAAATACACATTTTTGAAGTAAAAATAAAATAATATACTGAACTGTACTTCAAATGACGATTGTCCGTATCCGCGCGAAGCAATCAGGAATGCGACCACAAAGCTCTCGGGTTTCATCGCGAGAAATATTCGCATAACATTATGTAGATATAATAATAATGTTTATTGCTATTTTATTGCCATCTTCACTCCTTGCAATCTTGAAATGATCTCAGATCTTGTATAATATAGTCTTAATCGTGTTTGCTGATGAGAATCGTGTTAAATTTTTTGTGAGCAATGATATTATGGCCTTTGTAATTATTTGATAATGCGAAGTTACTTCAAAATGACGCGTTAGACCAAATTAAAAATGCGGTACATAAGCTAAATTATATTGAAGTTCCTCCATCTTTCACCTCATCATCATCAGTGAGTACGTTGCCGCCCTTTTGAGGGTTATTAGGGATTTAAGGACAGGGGAATTTCTGAGGCTGGGGTACGAGAAATGATTGGGACTCTAGTATCTCAAGCGAAACACATACACGTTTTCTGTGAGGCCGTGGTATCACTTCAGTCGAGCGGTCGAAGCATTACATAGCTCTCCCACACTTAGCATGGTTCTCCCACACTTTTTATAGTAAAGGATTATCTCATAGTCACACATACATGTAGGTTAATAACTTCGTGTTTAATGGACACTAATGAGCATAATGAATTAATTAAACGCACTTAGTTTGTGACAACGAAATATTTGACATGCTATTGTACTACGGATAATGTCATTATAAATTAGACCACTGTAAGTATCCAGTGGAAAACAAAACAAATAATAATGAAAATAGATGTAGGTACCTACTACCTATACGTATATGCAATTCATCAAACAGATCAAATAGAAGTAAAACTGAAATATTGATAAGATTTTTGATAAAACTGCCACCCCGACTATGTTAGGAGGAAGTGTCAGACAGACTAAAAACCACTCCTCCCTTCTCACCCATCCGTTCTCCTGCTCCAAAGCAGACCGGACCGCGGTACATCTTGGCGCTTGCATCCGCAACCCCGGATAGACATCGACCATAGGGTTTTTCATTTCAATAGACTACCACAGACGGGGCACTGTTCAGCCTAAATGAATAGGGCTGTTGTTCAGCCAGGCTTGCGGTGTAAGCGCAATGAGGTACTGCGGCGTCGGCCTAGAACAGGAAAAGGAACGGGTGCTTTTAGTAAGAGTCTGAAATAACGTACGGAACAAGTTAGTTGATGATTTTTCCCCCCACAAAAAAGGGGTTCCCATTTGCGGATTCTGTGTTGGTTTGATGGTCCATTGCGGTATACGCGGAATGGGATGCGTCTTACGCTATTACGCGCTATTGTACAGTTGATGCTGTGGCTGGGTTACCTTCTGTTACATGACCTGTCGCGGATGCGATTCCCGCACGGAACAACTTATAGTGTGATTCACAAATCGTTGTTCCGGGTCTGAGCGGGATGTGTATACGAAGTGACATGTTTGTAAACACACTAAAATAACTGGCCAATTGTATTAAATCCTGTTTATACATTAAATATCGATCGACCCAGTAATTTACCGCCTACTTTCACTATACTGAATAAATAAGTACTCAGTAGGTGTTCAGTTACTGGCACTCTAAGCGATATAACTGCAAACATTGCAGACCAACTTGTTGGAAGTTGTTAGTATTGCCGTCACGTGGCACTAAGAACCTCTCATGTACCTACTTGATACTTGCCGATAGAGGAGCGTGGAAGACCTATAAATGTGTATGTCGCAGTAAGATGAGGATATCAGTAATTTCACGAAATCCTGACTTACTTCGATAATTATTTGTCCTTCTTTGCTTTAGACAAACATTGCCCCACCCTAGGATTTTCTCCTGTGTCGTGGGTGCGTTTATAAACATACAATTTTACGTGCACATCACACCCAGACCCGGAACAATTTCTGGATCACATAAACACTTGTTTCGTGCAGGAATCGCGTTGTCCCGCGACAAGTTGCACTGAACCTAGTTGCCCACCAACACGCTTTTGTTTGTGAGGGGAAAATCATTAAATGACTTCTCCTGCCCAGGGCCGGGCGGGAGGGAGTGTCAGACTCTTACTGACTAAAACCCCCCTGTTCCTTCTCCTGCTCTGACCCACTAACAAATCGTTTAACGACTTAATACAAGTACTATACTTTTTTTATATAATAGGTCGGCAAATGAGCAGACGGATTACCTGATGGTAAGCAATCAGCGCCGCCCATGATAAGCAATCAGCAACGGAGGAGTTACGAGTGCGTTGCCGACCTTTTAGGGATTAGGATTACGGAGATTTAGGGATTGGGGAAGGGGCGTTATTGGGCCTCCGGTAACCTCACTCACACGGCGAAACACAACGCTGTGGTTGTTTCACGCCGGTTTTCAGTAAGGCCGTGGTATCACTCCGGTTGGCCGACCCATTCGTGCCGAAGCTTGGCTATCCCACACTTATGTATTCTCGTAGTAGAATTTACTGTAGTGAGATGTTATAGTTGAAATAATATTCCATAGTCTATGGAATTCTGATTTGAAAACCAATGGTTACAGTATCCACATAACGACTATTAAAATTCTTGCCTTGTTTGTGAGCAGCAATCGATTAGAAGGTAAAGCTGTTAAGTAAGGATCTCCCTAAATCCGGCCCAAGGGGATCATTAACGTACCATATGGGTTAGGTGGTGGATTACAACTTAATGTCCTTGAATTACTTACATAACATACAACTTAGTACTGGGTACATTACTTAAATTCTCGTTTACTATCAGCAGATGAAGGTATAACCTTCCAGTGTAAGTTGAACTCTGTAATTTAATAAAGTTTGTAAGAGCCAAGCTTCTGCACGAATTTGCGGGTGATACCGGCTTTACAGAAAACCGGCGTGAAACAACCACTGCATTGTGTTATATAAATTTATGTATTAGTCCTTTATTAGGTACTAGCTTCCGCCCGCGGTTTCGCCCTCGTGGTATTATGGTAAAGAGTAGCCTATGTCCTAATCAAAAGTGTTTCCTATGCCTGTGCCAAAATTCATCCAGATCCGTCAAGCCGTTTTGGCGTGATTGAGTAACAAACATCGAAACATCCAAACATCGCAAATTTTGAATTAAAATATTAGTAAGATAGTCACTATTAAAACCGTATAACAATTAAAAGTTAAAACATAAGCACAACCTAATAAATAATTTGGTCTAGATCTAAAAATAGAGCATGAATATGTTGACCAGTGTCTACCATTGATACTAAAAAGACTTCTCAAAACTCCTTTACACAAAAAGAGACAGTTGATTCGGACACATAATGGATGTGAAGACATTTTCCTTGAAATATTCAACACAAAAGGCGTTCGCTTGTCACAAATATAATATTCCCAATTTCCTGCGTTGACATCCAGCGCGCCATTGTGACTGTCAAGTATTGAAATATACATTACATACATTCTGAGTGGGTATCGCGGAAGACTGGATTTGTGTACTTTTCAATATTTTTGGATACGAATTAATCAAAGTTTAGTTAAATAAATTCACATGAATTGCGGATTCAAACTGAAAAAATCATGTGCTTTTTTAAGAGTAGATTATAATCAAATAAGTTCTCTCGCCGAGGGTGAGGCGAGAGGGAGTGTAAACTAAAATTCCTGTCGGGGCTATGGTTCCTTATTGCGCTTGACCCGCAACCCTGACCTAACATAGCCCAGTTGGGCCCTATCTGTAGTAGTCTATAAAATCCTATGTGCTAGATAGTTACTTCATAACATAATACAAGTACTGAGTCAAGCAGCGATAAAGCCGCTACTTGATTGCTGGCAAAGCCTAGTATGAAACAATTATTGGATGAAATGTTTGGTGAATTCATATAATCACTAATTTGTTTCCAAATCCAATTGTTTTCTTTAATAAAATAATATATTTATGATCAACCTATTAATGCCCACTGTTTAACAGACTCTGATTCTACATCATTGCGCTCGCATCCGTATGTATGTCCGTCTGAACAAGACCTAATATTTTGCATAAAAACCGTGAAAATACCGCGAAAATCTTTAAGAATGTGTCCCCAAAGGAGTTGGAGACTCTTCCTAGAACCCTCTATACAAAGTGGAAGTAATTAAAACTTGTGTTTTTTAGTTATTACGCCATTTTAATTAAAGGAGTTTGACGAGACACAACTTACGCTTGGCCGGTTAATGAGGCCGCTAAGTTGCAAAGCTAACAGGTGGAGCCGCGGCAAGTTGTAGTTCCCGGCAATTATGTAGGGACCGAGTTTCTAAAGACAATTTAACAAGATTCTACTTACTTGAACAAGTATGAATATTCATAGGCTTCACAAAATGAAGAGCATACACCTTGACAAGATTATTTTTCTCTGTTTAGAGGCTTTCTTAGTTAACAAACAGTATTGATGTTTTCGATTGAATCGATCTGATCACATAAAATCGCTTTCTGTGTCTAGATTTTTTTAATAGATATAGTGATTGAAGAGGAAGTTTTATATGTATAATAAAGTAATATAACATCTATTAAATAGTGGACAGATTAGGTAACAGTATTGCATTCAATCATCATCCTCATAATGGTTACGATGAACAATTACTGTAAAAATGTTTATAGTTGGCGCACTGGTGCAAACATTTTCTCAGTCAGAGAAGGCATACATTAGTGATTCGAAGCTTAGAAATACAAGTTATATTGCGTTTAAACACTAACTATAACTTTTTACACAACTATCGAATGAAATGTTATAACCAACAAGTCATACCAAACAGTCTAGACTATAATTCGCAACACAAGGGATTAAACACTTGTAGAAGACACGTGTCATGTACAACTTTGAAATAAAATTTGTTTTGAAATATTTTAAACTTTCTGTTGAAATGTCCACCCTTTTAAACTCTTAAAAAGAAAGTAAAATCTTGTTAAAAGTTTATTCAAACTTAACATTTGTTACAGACGTAAAACGAAGAAGTTCTCCCCGAACTTGGACTATCCTCAGACCCCGAAAATGGCAATGCACACGGTCACAAGAACTGCAAGGAACAGCGAATTTGAGGTATGTACCAACTACCAACCAATTTCAAGTTTTATTAAAGGAGAATCGAGTACGACCTTGGAAACGTTGGTCAAAGTGTAAAGTGAAGCTGATTTAGCTTATTTTTACTTTGGCATATGGTAAAGAAAAATAGGCAGAAAAATTAAGGTTCTTACACACGAGACAGCAGGTTTTTGAAACCTGGCGAGTGACTACCAAGATAACATTTTAGATGTGAAAGAAACACGATGCCGTGACGTAATCTGGACTTATAATTTCTGTTTACTAATAAGTATGAAAACGCCCATCCTAAAGCTGTGTTCCTAAAACTCAAATATTCTTCGTGTGTGAAGAGGCCTAAACTTTGCGGTAGGATCTCATAGGCTTCTATTTTATATACATTTTGGAAGCTCTTTTATAACCAAAAAAGTCAATTCTTGAATCCTGGTTGTTTAAATCCATTTTTTTGAGAAAGTAAATATTGATTAAAAGTCTTACTCCCTGAAAATCGGCTACACTTTTGACCCCTCTGACCAGCTTAGCTTGCTACCGCCCGTTTGAACCAACCAACTCTATTCCATAACAAATGAATAAAAGAACCCACGAACTACTCCGTTTTGAGCCAGTTGATTTATTTAATAATAATTTATATGTTTCAGGACATGAGGAGGCCTTTCATAGCGGCACATTTCCATGGCAACACATCTCATTTGAGCCCTGAAATACACGAGCACTACAAAGGTATATATTTACTTCTCAACACAATTATTTACAACACATATATTTTGCAAATAGCTCACAATTTACCTAGATTTAGCAAAATATTTCATTTGTACCTGTCCTGTAGATTCTTGACTTTACTACAAAACTATAAGGTTGAAAGTCTATTGATCGGTTGGACTTTTAACAGAGATGTTATGTAAACAATATTTTTTACAAATATTATAAAGAAGAAAGATTTAGTTGATTCATTTTTTGTTTGTTTGCATTGATTATATTTCGCTCGAAAACTATTGGATGGATGCAAACATTCGAAAGCTTAATGTTTAAAGAGTTATTTAAGACTAAGAAATGAAATTTTTGATCGTTTTTCTCATTCAAATTTATATTCTCTGGAACGAGGTTCACTGGTGAACTGATTGACAGACTATATTCTATATTGACGTTTCAAAAATACCTGTTTATGGTCTAGTTAGACTAAATGATTTTGACTATTGACTACATTTTATCGAAACATGAATTCGTATGTCTTCAAAATGCACAAAACGTGTCGCGGGTTCGATTCTCGCACGGAACTACTTATTGTGTGATCCACAAATTGTTGTTCCAGGTCTGGGTGTGATATTGTGTATGATGCATGTTTGTAAACGCAACCACGACACAGGAAAAATCCTAGTGTGCGGAAAAGTAAAAAAAAACACGACCGATTTGTGGGAAATCTTGGAATATCTAAACAGACAAAACCTCAGAGGGAACACCAAGTTAATAGTAAAATAGATACATGAAACACACAATGTACACGTTTTAAAACGCCTTAATAAAGCTCCTAGACATGAACGTAGCCTCGCATTAATAATACACTTAGTCTAAGTCTAGGGAATATTAATAAAGAATATCTAGTTCTAGACTTTAAGACAATAGAACTGGCGGAGGAATTATAATAATGTCGTAAATATTTATACGAAACGAGTTCATTAATTATGCTTTCTATTTCGCTTTGTTCTGTTGGTTGATGGTTCTGGAGTATAGAATAATATAGAAACATGTTTACCTAATTTTTATCTAAAGGGGTAGGCAGCAGTAGGTTATGGTTTTTTTTATGTGATTGGATGGCAAACGAACAGACAGATTACCTGATGGTAAGCAATCAACGCTGCTTACAACAACAGATGAGTTACGAGTGCGTCGCCAACCTGAGGATTCGGGATTAGGAGAATTTAGGATTGGGGGAGGGGAAGGATTGGGCCTCCAGTAACCTCACTCACACGGCGATAACAACTCTGTGGTTTTTTCACGCCGATTTTCGGTGAGGCCGTGGTATCTCTCCGGTCGAGCCGACCCATTCGTGCCGAAGCATGGCTCTCCCACACTTAAAAACTTAAAAAAGTATTAATCGTAATTGAAACCTTATCAAATGGTATCGAACGGCGAGCATTAGAAGATGCGATTCAACCCACACTAACTCACTAACTCACTTCAACGGCTTCTATAAGCTTCTTTAAAAATCTACTAAAACTAACCAATTTGCCATAGCAAGTTTTTTTGAAAATTTATTCAGTTGCGTAGAATCACGTTGCTCCCTGTTTCGCGACTATTATCTAGCCCAAAGGCCTTCGACTTTTTGCCGTTCGGTTTGTAGGTCGCTGTTCCTTTTTTGTAATTGTTTTTGGGCGCTTTATGAAATTTGAAATGATTATAATAACCTAAATGTAGATTGTTATATTTTTCAATTATATAATTTACAAAGATTGTTCTGTGAAGACTATTTTACTGTTTTCACTATTTTATCTTAAGTATAAAAGAGATATTTTCTGCTAAAGGAATGGTTGATGCGAAATTAAAAAACTAAAGAGACAATAATACTTACTTATGTATACGCAGTTGTAAATGTAACATATTCCAAAGCCTTCTACCAAAAGTATCAGTATATGTATAATAAAAAGGTATCAAAATCACATCGTTCGACTAACACTTACTTTAACATAAATAACATTGAACAAAAACACATCCTAATTAATTAGAACCTCGTTCTAACCATCGTATATTGAGTTTACTATACTCCTTTTCTTGTCCCTTCTGGGAAAGCGTGGGCGTACTGTGTGATGTTAGACATATCAGTACAGACAGTAATTAATTCTAAATCTTATTATTTTACGCTTTCCAGGTAACGGTCTAGTTCGTGTGTCGCATGGCGCTGCTCACGACGTGTGGTACCCCGCACCCTGGACCGTGGCATCACCACATCCTCGACCTACGCTCACTCGCAGCGGACACGTGCATGTACACCACACTGGCGTCTATTTGGTCTATGTACAGGTAAGAATTTATTATGCTCCATTTTTGAACAGTTTCCCTAAATCAGTTTTAAGGGCTTGTTTATTCATTCTCTTGTGATCACCCGATAAACTTATTTAAAAGACAGTTCATACAAATGAGGATCAATTTTCGAAGTTGTTACTCAGAGTATATAATACCGGCCATAGTCCCGTGTAAAAAAAAGGTGTAACAATTTTGCTTCGCTAATATAATCACTGTCTCATTCATTCGTTTTATGATTTCATATAAGAATAATTATTAATATCTATAAATACAGTTGGACAGAAATGCAATCAGCAGAAACTTGTAAATCACTAGCAAAATCATGACAGTGTCCGACACAATCAGTTTGTCATTTTGCCGCGCTTTTGCACAGCCGCCATTATGAAGCGATTACGACATTTCCCATACGTGACATACGTCACGTGGGCACAGCTAACAATCTAAAACAATAGCTAGATATTCTAATGTAAAGCATTTCATAAAATGTATTATGAAGAATCAAGTATGTATTATATGATTAATATTTGTTCCTAGGGGCCTTTGATTACGAAGGGCTACCACTAAAATAGTTTAGTTGCTAATCTGTTCAAGTGTAGTTAACTCAATAACCTTTATGAACAAAAGTTACGTCATTTGAGCAGAACATTGGAATCGTAAAGGTCCAAAGAGGTCGCACATTCAACAGGTAGGTATGATTCCACAATCCTAAGAGCCTTTCGTATTTATCGTCACTGGCATTGAAGAGCGACTTATTGTCTGCCGCTTTTAAGCCCCAAATGGCCTTAATACGTGACTGTATTTGATAAATTCTGTTTGAATCGTGTGACGAATTATTTTAAGACTTACAATATGTAATTCAAGCTAGTAGAAATTTTAGCTTTCATTATAAATTCTGATTTATAAATGAACAAAACAATATATTGTTTGTAACTCAATTAAGAGGAGCTTGGAAATTCATTCCAAGTACTGAAACAAATAATAATAATAATTCTCAGGGTGGGCAGATTTATCTAGCTTTAGTTAACGCTGCCTCCGCCTTACTTTAATTTAGACTAACTTTTTGTTGTCTTGTAACTTGTAAATAAAGGAAGGATTCGTCTAAAGAAAATTATCTCACAACCCGTTTTCTGTTACAAATCCTGCACCTAAAGAACAACTTAAGGTAAAGTGGCCCATTTTGGCACAAAATACGTCGAAGTTTTTTTTAAAAATGGGTTTTGATTTTAACTGAGTACGAGACGACCTTCGAAATATATCACTAAAATACTGATCATGTTTATTTCTTCACAGATTTACTATCTGGATAGTCACGACGTCATCTCCTGGGTGCTCCACCGCACGAATGCCGACATTGAGGGTCGGGAGACACTCCTGCAATGTGCTCAATCATCCCACTCGACAGAACAAATCGACAAGCCCAACTCTTGCTTCTCAGCTGCTGCCCTGTTCCTTAAAGCTGGTGACAGGCTAGCTGTGAGGAATACAGGAGGGGACAGGCACTCCTTGATGCAACCAGAGAAGAGCTTCATCGGGCTTGTGAAGCTGGCGGACGCTGAGGATCCAACCCAAGAGCTGTAGACTCTCTACCTCCAAGTTCCAGCAGTTCTTAGTAACTTTGTCTTCGTTAAGAGTTTTGTATCGAGTAAATAACACCTAGAACGAGAAAATAAGGAATCGATAAGATAGGAAAAGGTGAAATGTCATTCCTGCAATTAGAAAACTTGGCTTGTTACAAAGTTACTTCAGTCCTCGGAACTTTTTACTCCTAACTTGATGTTAGTAATATATGTCTGAATATATTTGTAATAAAACTTTACAAATGTATTGGAAAGTGATAATATTGTTATGTTAGTCAAGAAAGTGCCATTGTTGTGGGTTACGAAGCAGTAATTAAGTATAGGAACAAATTAATTAGTATATACATTTAGTATTGGCATTATTTTTCGAACAGATACGACCTCGCTGAATTTACGATGATGTAAATTTTTGTACTAGCAACACATCGAAAGTCTTGCCTTATTAAAAAAGCAATGCAAACTCTTTGGTACATTTTAAAGTAATTTTAAAAATTTATTATTTTCGTGTTTTAACGGTGTTGAATTATATGTTTACGTGTCTTTTTAGTATATCGAGAAATCAATCGAAAGATCTGTTATACCATTGATATTATAAGTACCTACCTACTAACGTTAAAAATTAAAATAATTTATTGTACGTACATACATAGGTATTTTTATTTAATACTTATATAGATGTTTAAATGCAATCACGCATTTTTGATATTCATTCATGTTTTGTAAGTGAACAAAATAAATCTGTATTAAAATGTATCATTTGTATTTTATTGTTATGCATTAAATATTTACCTGTTACATATTGGAAACGTCTTCAGATTTCTGCTACAGAAAATCATTAAGCACGTCTTGGTCTTGGAATTTAGTAAAAAACTACAAACTCTGCAAGGATCCAAACAGTCTTTAATTCGATTAAAATGTGGATAATCACAAGAATATATTAGTATAAATCATCTAATTCCAAAAAATAAATACTTCTTACATGACGAGTTTGAGCTTGCAGGACATAAATCGCCAGTGGCGCCACCTAGGCAGAGCGAAAATATAGAAATGAGGCTTTATTTAAATAACGCAAATCAAATAACCTTCACAGGTTTACTAAAGTTAAAATAAATCGATACATATGAAGTGTATATGGCAGATAACGGGTACGATATCAGTTTAATTACACCACTGATTACACTTGTTTTGTTATCAACATCTGCAAAATTCGTTAGAAGACATAACTTGTACCTGTTGTTCGATATTTAATAAAGATAATGGACCTCTTGGAAAGCCACAGTGAAATTGTTTCAAAGTTTTTGTGCCTCAGAAAGTGACTATTGTACCCGGTTGTTAGAAAATTATTGTATTTTCTTTAATCAAATATATTCCTATCATCATCTAAGACTAAGATCTCTATGAGAGACCTAGAGTCAGATTATTATGGCCATGTTTATTAAATAAATTGTACTGAGCTAATCATTTTAAAATGTTAAGTAGATCCAATCTTGTATTTGGTCTTCACTTGCTGGAGTTGCAGGTGCAAGCGCTAAAATGGAGTGCATTTTTGGTCGCGGCCTGGATCAGGAGAAGGAACGGGATGGGGTTTAGTCAGTTAGAGTCTGACATTACCTCATGTCACAGCCAGGGCAAGAGCAACAAATTAATGATTTTCCCATCAAATTAAAGATACTTGAAAAGTGCCCCTACCTTAACCGCGCCAAATACCTATGTATAGTAAATCTTAACTTTCTAGCAACCAATTCCGTAACATTCATTGAAGCAGATAGAAAACAAGACATTTCTGTTCACTGTGCTGTCCCTACATAATACATACATAGATATGTAATCCTATTCAGAATTCTCTGGACATTTCTCTTTGACCGGTCACACGAGGATATGCGAAAGGTATGTTAGAGGATCGAATTCACAACGCCTGACTCGCAATTTATAACTTTTATGAAACAGGATATTTCTGACGGGATCAGGATCAAGAGGCTAATGTTGTCTAAAGAATTACTTATAGGAAAATCGGCATCAATATTGAAAAGGATATCTTTCTAAGGTTTTCTAAAGTTTAAAATAAAGCGACTGCTGGTGATAAGTGTAATAAATATGTATGTTTGTGCACTGTGCAGCTTCTTCGACGTCTTCAGTTATGAGTAGATGATTATCAAATGACTTCTCTGACCTCGCATAATGCTTGACTTAATTTGGACGAGCCAAATTTCGCTGAGTTCCTATATAAAAAACCATGTGGATAACTGAGAAGAGAGTGTCATTTGGCATTAAGTTCATTTTGTGAAGCTTGACTTATAATATCTACGTCAAAGTTTCAATAAATAAAGCAGGAGAGACTTAGACTCTCTTTCTAACTAAGAAGATCACACTCCGTATCCCTGACACGGCAGAACAGTCGGTAAAATCCAAAATTGGATTATAAATGCGAAGACTTTTCTGTTTATCATTACTGGCACATCGTCCATATATACATATAAGAAAAAGTAGCACTTACATAAACTTCAATACCATAGCTTTAACAACACCTAGTTCTGTTACTACAATATTTTATGTTTCAGTTACAACGTGAGAGTATTGCTTTTAGCTCTTAACGACATTTTCAAATGCTCTAAAGGTAAGAATAAAACGGATGGATAAATCTTATTTTATTCATTGCTTTATTAAGTTTAGCTTGATAGTGTAGACACTACAGTATTGGTAATACGTTTAATATTTTGTCTAGAGGTAGTAGGTACGTCGTTATTGGATTACCTGTTTGGTAGGTATGACGTTTCTTCCAGAGCTGTTCTTTTTACAAGACCCAGTGCCAGTTTGTAAGGGCTAATAATGGTTAACTTATGGTTAAACTTATTTGGCAAGATTGCGGAGTTCCTTTAAATTAGTGGCTTCCCCCTTTTTTGAGAAGATAAATTATCATAAATATAATAATTTTGGCCACAACTAAGGAGTTGACGACGAGCATGCTTTTTCTCCCGCTAGGTCCGATGCAGGTATCTCTTAAATCTGCTGAGTCCGCTAAATATGACGTGGAGGGTTTTTTTTGTGTCAGTTCCTCTCACTCCGCACCATGGCCTCGACTAAGGCCGAGCGTGAGAGGTCGCCGCCGCTGATCACTTCCCTGAGGACACGGCGGTGCTCAGCCCAGGCAGGGCATACCGCCACCGTATGCTCAACCGTATCCTCTAGGTGGTCCTCGCAATGACGACACTCAGGCGTTTCCTCCCGCTGGATCCGAAACAGGAACCTACCGAAGCTGCCGTGCCCGGTAAGGACCTGCGTCAGGCGGAAGGTGAGGACGCCATGACGTCTCTCAAGCCACTCCTCAAAGTTGACGTGAAGGGTAAGGACGCCGTGGCGTCTTTCTTAACACTCTTCTCAAAGAGACTACCTCTACTTTAACAGGAAAATTTCCCCCTACTATCAGAAATGTGTTATGATATCATTCCTTTTTTATTTACAGCGGAAAGACTGTGGACCTACGAAGTGTAGGACTATTTCGGAATTTCGTAAGTCACTATAAGAGCCACGCTCAGCGCCTGAAATTGTCACTGTCTTCTAACAGACCTGCTGTAAAGCTCCAATCAATCTTCTGAGTTCCTTTACGCTGTATTCAAAATATTTTTCTTATCAATCTACTCCGACCCTAGCTCAAGTCTAGTCTATCCTATAAACATAGTCTATTAATTGACTCGATCAATACTAAACCGATTAGCTACATACCGTATGTACCCACGCGATATTGGTCGATTACTGATTGAATTACCCTTAGTGAACTTAAATTACTTACAGGCGAGGGAGCACTGGCAGCTAATAGCTTAAATTATAGCCTAAGCAGTTAATTTAATAGTTGATAATGGCTGTAGCATAATGAAGATGGAGGTTTTAGAGTAGCATTATAAATAACAGCGTAAAGAAGTAATTTTTCGAAGCGCTATATTCATCGTCAGCCTATGAGAAACCATTGCTGGGCAAAGGCCTTTTAGAGGTTACCGGAGGCCCAATCCTTCCCCCTCTCCCCATCCCTTCCCAATCCTCCAAGACCGGCAACGCACTCGTAAAGCCAGTGTGATGCGATGTCCATGTGCGGCGCCGATAGCTTACTCAGTAGTCTGTCCGTTCGTTTGCCGAACTATTCCATAAAAAGTGACTCTGGTACTTACCATAACCTGTCCAAGTATCTTTGCAAAAAGTCGTACATATAATAGTCTGTCAGTGAACTTATTGCTTTGTTTACACATATCCACATTCAAAGTCTTATCATTATCAAAAACTTGGTACGAGGACAAATAAATAATTCCGGATGATAAATTTATTATATTATATACTAGCTACTCTCATGCGGTTTCACCCCATTTGACCGTATCGTGATGTTTATAACCTATAGCCCTCAGGAACATTATAGCTATCTATCAGTGAAAGAATTTTGGCAATCCGACCAGCGGTTCCAAATATTGCCCCCTACATACAAACTTACAAATTTTACCTCTTTATAATATTAGTATAGATTTGATTTTATAAATCCATGGTCTGGATTATAATAAAGAGTTAATGTAATAAAAAAAGTGTTGCAAGATAAATAAATTGAAAGTGAAATAGCTTGTAAAAATCCTCCCAAATTTGTCTACTCAGAGATTGAACTCAAATTGAATAAAAAGGGCACTTCATTACAGTTTATCAGAATTCTATAACAATGCCGTCTTTGGAATTCTAGTAAGCCTATTCAACTATAGGTACAATATTGATTACAAATAAACAGATGGTCCTTGGGAATCTTCTCAGTAATTAAATTATAACATTGAATATCAACTTCTAAATAATTGAATTAATATATCAAAGGGTTGATGAATGCTCTCAGATTCTTATTTGACTGTAGTGGATTCTTATTGAAGGGTCAGAGCAGAAGAAAAAAATCGAGTTTGGAAGAGCCTTCGGTACGCATGGGCCGGTTCGATCGGAGTGACAGCACGGCCTCACGGAAAACCGGCGTAAAGCAACACTTACGTTGTGTTTCGCCGTGTGAGTGAGGTTACAGGAGGCCCAAGCCTCCCCCCCCCCTATCCTCAATCTTCAAATAATAATTATCCCCAATAACTCACAAGAGG